TATAATTTTGACCCATACAATGTATTGTTGGCTATTGCTACAAATATACCTGTGCTGCTTATGACCTTTTTCATTTTAAATTCAGATAACGTTCAATTTATTTTTCATTTTAGTTAAAGTTTTAGTAATTTTTTTGTTAGTTTGTCTTTTATGTCTATATAGTTTTGATTATCGTTTTACTGTTATAGTTCTAGTAAATATTTGAAATTAGTTTTTATTTTAATTTTTTTGTGTATTTGTTTATGGTTAACCATTACTTTATGGTTTTTATTATAGTTTTACTATTAGTTCTAGTTAATATTTTGAATTCGTTTTTATTTGAATAGTTTCTGCTTTCATTTTAATTTAAAATTGTTTTTTTTTTGTTTTTGTTTTTTTTTTTTGTTTTTGTATTTATATAGTTTTTATTATAGTTTCTGTTTTTCTAGTTAATGTTTTTAATTAATTTTCTTTATTTTTCTATTTTAATTTGTTAAAGTTTGAGTAATTGTGTTGTTTTGTCATTTTTATTAGTTTTGAAGTATGTGTATAAGGCTGGGTATCGATTCAGATGTTCCAATTCGATTCGATTTCGATTTTCAAGCTCGATTCGATTTCGATTCTCAATTCGATTTGACTATATGAATGAATATAGATTTAATACAAATCCTATATTTATAAAAAATTAACAGTGAACATAAGATTACAAATGGTTAATTAATAGGAAATTAAGAGCCACAAACCTGTATATTAAACACTTTTTATTCGTCCACGGTGAAAGCCGATCCGGCGATCCACAGCTACAATTTGTTGAACAATTTGTACAACAAATACAAGTTGTTGTATTTCCTCAGCAACCAGCACGGATCAGCTCCAGGCATGACGAAGCAGATATCGTCCTCTTCCAAGAGCTTGTAACACTCCAAAGAGAAAGGAACAATTGAAATCGCATCATATGACTCCTTTAATATTTAGAACTAGTTTTTATTTTCATTTTAGTTTAAAGTTTTAGTAATTTTGTGTTTTGTCATTTTTATTTATTTTTCTGTTTTAAATATGTATATAGTTTTTAATCATTTTATTTCATTTTTGGTTTTTGTTATTTTAGCGCTTCAGCTTAAAATAGATGAAAATGAGAATTGTTGCCTGGCAACTAGCTGAAATAAATTATCTTATTTATTTATATGTTTCCGTTATTGTTCAGTTTAGTAATGGAAGTATTTTGAGTTAGTGATAATAACTCTGCTCGGCCCCTGCTGTGCTTCTCATGGTGTTTAGAGGTGATCTTCAGTCTGTTGGCTCGTCACTTATCATCTGTCTCTCTCTCTCTCTCTCTCTCTCTCTCTGTCTGTCTCTCTCTCTGTCTCTCTCTCCCGCACTGCTGTGTGTGTGTTCTCTGCAGGTTCAGTGGGAAGGAGGACTATCTGGGCTTCATGAATGAGTTCCTGGAGATGGAGTGGGGCTCCATGCAGCAGTTCCTGTACGAGATCTCTAATCTGGAGTGTGTGAGTAACGCCGGGGCGTTCGAGGGCTACATCGACCTGGGCCGCGAGCTCTCCATCCTACACAGTCTGCTGTGGGAGGTCATGGCGCAGCTGAGTAAGGTACGGCCCACTGTTCATTTCGCTGACCTATCATTTTCGTCAGCGACATTTTTTCACAGTTGAAAACGAGACGATAAAAACTATTTTTTAGAATATTAAAAAAAGTTCCTCTTTTACAAACGTAAAAGCCCTTTCACACCAAAAGTGAAATGAATACGACTAAAGCTGAAGGAAATGTAAATTCACGTCTGTACAGTAGAGGGCGCAGCTAAATTATACACAAATGTCATTTTTGCTTATTAGTATGGATGAAGTAGCTCACTGAAGGTCAGTAGCAGACACTGGTTAATAAAATGGGATTAAATGCATAAATGATATTTGTCTTATTTAACATTTAATTATTGCAGGTTTGTATAATATTGTATAATATTGATTTTGAGGAACGCTGAATCTGTTTTTGAGTAAACACATGTTGATATTTAGTCTAGAACTACAGTAAGCTCATGTTCACACACAACGCTCTGCACTTACTCCTGATTTCTGTCACCATGGCAACACCAGAGCTGTCACTCAACACATGGAAACATTTGAAAAAGTAACTGATATTTCCTTCTAAATTCAAAAGTAATGCGTTACTTTACTAGTTACTTGAAAAAAAGAAATCTGATTACGTAACTTGCGTTACTTGTAGTGCGTTACCCCCAACACTGATAACGAAAATCTATTGACATTTTCATTAACGAATAAAAACGAGACGAAAATGTTAGGGAGGGACGATTAGACAGAGATCCAGTCAGAGCGAATCTCCTGCATGGAAAGCAGCTCTGATCATATGTTTGCATACACTTGCTGCACACCTCATTAAACGTAAAAAAACGTCAGCGCCTGGGAGTAAGAAAGAGCAGACATATGGATAAATCTGAAAAGCGTGACGACGCGAAAGAGCACTTAACTCGGTCCGGTTTTCGGTTGAGCGCACACAAAAGCGCCTCTCAAACAGCACACGATTACTGAATTCAGTTCTCTTGTGCGTCTGAACGGAGAAATACACACAAAATGATCTCAAATTGTCCGAGTGTTCATGTAAACACACACGGTTACGTCTTAAGTGAATGTAAACTCTTGTGAGAATATCAGATGTGTGTGCCAGTATATTGAATCCGTGCATTCAGTTTTAAAGGGACAGCAGACTAATTTAGTTATTGTCTTTGTCATTATTGTTAATGAATCAAGAAAAGAAAGAGAAAATCACTCACTGCTCTTGAATGAATCACTGTAGTAGCCCTAATAAGGATTAATCTAATTTTAATTTATACAAATAAATATGTCTGCTATGATATTTAGTCGACTAAAACAACACTAAGACTAAAACAATTCAGATGACTAAAATGTGACTAAAACTAAATGGCATTTTAGTCCTAAGACTAAAACTAAATCAAAATATGCTGTCAAAATTCATAGATCCAAACTCCTCACCTCTCAGTGACAACTCTTTGAGATCAAAATAGGTCATCCAGTGAGAAAGTGTTTTTATGAGGAGGGGTCTTGCAAGGGTAAATGAAGAACTGGGGCCGGTTGTTTCAATACGTTTTCTATAGTATTTTCTTTACTCTTTACTTCAAAAGCTGTCTGAGAAGGGTAATAGTTTATGTATTTGTGACCCTGGACCACAAAACCAGTCAGATTTATACATCATCTGGAAGCTGAATAAATAATCTTTCCATTGATGTATGGTTTGTTAGGATTGGACAATATTTGGCCGAGATACAACTATTTGAAAATCTGGAATCTGAGGGTGCAAAAAAATCTAAATATTGAGAAAATCATCTTTAAAGTTGTCCAAATTAAGTTCTTAGCAATGCATATTACTAATCAAAAATTAAGTTTTGATATATTTACGGTAGGAACTTTACTAAATATCTTCATGGAACATGATCTTTACTTAATATCCTAATGATTTTTGGCATTAAAGAAAAATTGATAATTTTGACCCATACAATGTATTGTTGGCTATTGCTACAAATGCTGTATACCTGTGCTACTTATGACTGCTTTTGTGCTCCAGGCTCACATTTTAGCTCAGCATTGCCGTCTAATCAGCCAAAAACACAGTGCCTTCACGACATGGCGGCAGCGGCAACAACAATACTACAGCGAGAATAAAAGTTACGCCTTCTTTCTTTGCGTGAACATTTGGGCGGCGTTATGCAAATCTTCCCATATAGTGAGGTAGATATGTGGTGGCGTGTTAGAACGAGCCGTTTTAGGTTGACTCTGAACTTTTATAAAGAATATCTCTTTGGATTTGAGACTTTAGTCTTTGCAACTTTACAGATGTTCTTTATGCACCAAGAGCTTGTAACACTCCAAAGAGAAAGGAACAATTGAAATCGCATCATATGACTCCTTTAATATTTAGAACTAGTTTTTATTTTCATTTTAGTTTAAAGTTTTAGTAATTTTGTGTTTTGTCATTTTTATTTATTTTTCTGTTTTAAATATGTATATAGTTTTTAATCATTTTATTTCATTTTTGGTTTTTGTTATTTTAGCGCTTCAGCTTAAAATAGATGAAAATGAGAATTGTTGCCTGGCAACTAGCTGAAATAAATTATCTTATTTATTTATATGTTTCCGTTATTGTTCAGTTTAGTAATGGAAGTATTTTGAGTTAGTGATAATAACTCTGCTCGGCCCCTGCTGTGCTTCTCATGGTGTTTAGAGGTGATCTTCAGTCTGTTGGCTCGTCACTTATCATCTGTCTCTCTCTCTCTCTCTCTCTCTCTCTCTGTCTGTCTCTCTCTCTGTCTCTCTCTCCCGCACTGCTGTGTGTGTGTTCTCTGCAGGTTCAGTGGGAAGGAGGACTATCTGGGCTTCATGAATGAGTTCCTGGAGATGGAGTGGGGCTCCATGCAGCAGTTCCTGTACGAGATCTCTAATCTGGAGTGTGTGAGTAACGCCGGGGCGTTCGAGGGCTACATCGACCTGGGCCGCGAGCTCTCCATCCTACACAGTCTGCTGTGGGAGGTCATGGCGCAGCTGAGTAAGGTACGGCCCACTGTTCATTTCGCTGACCTATCATTTTCGTCAGCGACATTTTTTCACAGTTGAAAACGAGACGATAAAAACTATTTTTTAGAATATTAAAAAAAGTTCCTCTTTTACAAACGTAAAAGCCCTTTCACACCAAAAGTGAAATGAATACGACTAAAGCTGAAGGAAATGTAAATTCACGTCTGTACAGTAGAGGGCGCAGCTGAAACTAATCACATGAAGAATATGACGCAGGAGAAGAAAGTTCAACACTATTCAGCAATAACACAAATTATACACAAATGTCATTTTTGCTTATTAGTATGGATGAAGTAGCTCACTGAAGGTCAGTAGCAGACACTGGTTAATAAAATGGGATTAAATGCATAAATGATATTTGTCTTATTTAACATTTAATTATTGCAGGTTTGTATAATATTGTATAATATTGATTTTGAGGAACGCTGAATCTGTTTTTGAGTAAACACATGTTGATATTTAGTCTAGAACTACAGTAAGATCATGTTCACACACAACGCTCTGCACTTACTCCTGATTTCTGTCACCATGGCAACACCAGAGCTGTCACTCAACACATGGAAACATTTGAAAAAGTAACTGATATTTCCTTCTAAATTCAAAAGTAATGCGTTACTTTACTAGTTACTTGAAAAAAAGAAATCTGATTACGTAACTTGCGTTACTTGTAGTGCGTTACCCCCAACACTGATAACGAAAATCTATTGACATTTTCATTAACGAATAAAAACGAGACGAAAATGTTAGGGAGGGACGATTAGACAGAGATCCAGTCAGAGCGAATCTCCTGCATGGAAAGCAGCTCTGATCATATGTTTGCATACACTTGCTGCACACCTCATTAAACGTAAAAAAACGTCAGCGCCTGGGAGTAAGAAAGAGCAGACATATGGATAAATCTGAAAAGCGTGACGACGCGAAAGAGCACTTAACTCGGTCCGGTTTTCGGTTGAGCGCACACAAAAGCGCCTCTCAAACAGCACACGATTACTGAATTCAGTTCTCTTGTGCGTCTGAACGGAGAAATACACACAAAATGATCTCAAATTGTCCGAGTGTTCATGTAAACACACACGGTTACGTCTTAAGTGAATGTAAACTCTTGTGAGAATATCAGATGTGTGTGCCAGTATATTGAATCCGTGCATTCAGTTTTAAAGGGACAGCAGACTAATTTAGTTATTGTCTTTGTCATTATTGTTAATGAATCAAGAAAAGAAAGAGAAAATCACTCACTGCTCTTGAATGAATCACTGTAGTAGCCCTAATAAGGATTAATCTAATTTTAATTTATACAAATAAATATGTCTGCTATGATATTTAGTCGACTAAAACAACACTAAGACTAAAACAATTCAGATGACTAAAATGTGACTAAAACTAAATGGCATTTTAGTCCTAAGACTAAAACTAAATCAAAATATGCTGTCAAAATTCATAGATCCAAACTCCTCACCTCTCAGTGACAACTCTTTGAGATCAAAATAGGTCATCCAGTGAGAAAGTGTTTTTATGAGGAGGGGTCTTGCAAGGGTAAATGAAGAACTGGGGCCGGTTGTTTCAATACGTTTTCTATAGTATTTTCTTTACTCTTTACTTCAAAAGCTGTCTGAGAAGGGTAATAGTTTATGTATTTGTGACCCTGGACCACAAAACCAGTCAGATTTATACATCATCTGGAAGCTGAATAAATAATCTTTCCATTGATGTATGGTTTGTTAGGATTGGACAATATTTGGCCGAGATACAACTATTTGAAAATCTGGAATCTGAGGGTGCAAAAAAATCTAAATATTGAGAAAATCATCTTTAAAGTTGTCCAAATTAAGTTCTTAGCAATGCATATTACTAATCAAAAATTAAGTTTTGATATATTTACGGTAGGAACTTTACTAAATATCTTCATGGAACATGATCTTTACTTAATATCCTAATGATTTTTGGCATTAAAGAAAAATTGATAAAATTGACCCATACAATGTATTGTTGGCTATTGCTACAAATGCTGTATACCTGTGCTACTTATGACTGCTTTTGTGCTCCAGGCTCACATTTTAGCTCAGCATTGCCGTCTAATCAGCCAATATTGTCTTAAATAGCCTGCATAGCACTTCATCTTTTATAACATGGGATTTTGACCAAATATACTCAATCTTGATTTTTGTAAAATGTTGCAACGATGTTAAAAATGTTTTATTTTTGTTTTTTGTGAAAAATTAGTTTTGGACATATAAGATAATAATAAATAATTTAGTAACTGCAAAAGAGCATGTAAAGCAAATATCTTTCCTCGATCCACGCAATTTTCTCACCTTTTTTCCCCCTTACACTGGTATGGCTGCGCCGCTCGTCTTCACGCCTGTGTGTGTGAGTCTCGGAGCGCTCAAGTGTTTGCGTTTCTTCAGGATGCCATCCTGAAGCTGGGGCCGCTGCCGCGGTTGCTGAACGACATTAGCATGGCACTGAGGAACCCACAGCTGCACCGTCAGGCGAGTCACCAGCCGCCTGAACGCCACCTGACCCGGCCCCCCTTCAGCCGCCTCGCCACCAACGACTTCCAGAGCCTCATGATGAGAGACCTCAACAGGTGACTGTCTGTCTAACTGTCTGCATCAAATTATGAAGTCCAATACACTAACTAAAAAGCCCCATAGTGTTTTTTGGACGTGGTATATGGTACACAAACATGACGGTTCGGTACGTAACTCGGTTTTGACGTCACGGTTCGGTATGATTTCGGTTCCGCAGGGGAAAAACTAAACATAAAATTGCTTTTTTTATTAAACAGTGGTTTACTGAACAAATTGCTGTTACTTTAAAAAGGTCATCGGATTCCTATTTTCTAGTTTGATATGAATCAAATGAAAAGTCTGTAACATACTTTGATTAAAATTTCTCAATGGTAGTGTAAAACACCCTTTTTACCCTGTCAAAAACAGCTCTGTTCACAGCGACCCGTTTCGGTGCATGTCCCTTTAAATGCTAATGAGCTTTGCTGACCCCGCCCCTCTCTTCCGAGCCGCTCTCTGAGAAACGTTAGCCAGATTCATCGTGAAACTTGCTAACTAGCACATTATTAGGAAAGGCGATTTGCAAAGATTCATAAAAAAAAACTTACACTCACTTCGTCTGTAACTGCCTACACACATTTCAGTTCAAACAACATGTAAAAGTGAATTTTGCATCCGATGAGCCCGTTGAATAAATTCGAACATAATTGAAATTTTCTTAGGGATTAAGAATCTGTCTGAGTTTCTGCTCTAAACTATACGGAGCCCTTTTACATTACTATAAGATTACAATTAACAACAGATCCAATATTCAGAATTTATTTTAAATATAATAATCAAAATTGTATGCAAATTGTATTGCACGTAATGCAGTTTTTAAATTAACTTCTAAACTATAAAATTTCTATTTGTTGTTGAAATATAATCATTTACACTAGCTGTCATAACTTGTTTTATATCAGGTTTATTTAAGCATACATTAAATAATTAAGACATCACTAACAGGTAAAATAAAATATAATGAGTATTAGGGTCACGATTCCTTGATTCTATTGGAGTATTCAATTTTTTAAAATCCTTGATTTCATTTTGTCCGTGCATTTCACGAGAATCCATGAAATGCATTATTAGACCATTTTCCAAGGCTGCATGATTATATTAAACCCATTTAAAATCATACTTAAGCATAATGCTATTGTGAATTCACAAACGCTATGATTCAATTAAATAAATATATGCGATGCAGGTTTAATATATGTGCTTTAATTATTTACATGCGTGTAGGTTGCGTGTGTGCGTGTCACAGTAAATAAATGCTGCTCCGCACAAACCGTTATCATTTACATGTGTGGACCGTCTCAAACTCTGCATGTCGTTGTGAGTTTGTGTTTATTATAACGTCCATCTGGGAACGCAACGTGCGCCATTTCTTCAAATTTGTAAGGTCAGTCGTTTATAAACTTACGCAAACACTGGCGAATACGTCAATATCTTTCTCAATATGGTAACTTTTCATCGCGATTTCAAAATAAAAGTTGAATCCCTCGCTCTGAGTTTATATGTTTTGATGTCCACATATTCAAGAAATCACAGTGGCTGTAGCATTTCTTTTGTAAAGCAATAGCCAGATATTTAAGATCAAGTGGACACTCGAATTAAATGATGTTTGGTCAATATTAAACACTGATTAGATCGTGCAGTAAAGTGTAACACAATCATCAGACTGTTAGCGCCCTCTGCAAGCCTTTGTTAAAATGCATAATGTATGTTAGCTCTATTGTTTATAATACATTATGTATTTTAACAGTTTTGTTAAAAAAAAAAACATATGATTACTTGCTTTTGATACTTTATATGAACTAATTAGTATTGCGTTGTTGCTATTATATATGTATTTTATGTGATTTTAAAGGCTGTTTGCTTATGTCTATTTTTATTAATGCAGAAAAAAGTCTATTATAATTATCCAAATGACCGATACCTGAATTACCAAAATAATCATTAGTGACACCCCACTATGAGTAAATAGTTTAATATTTCGACTTCATTGCTTTAGTGAACTAACGAGCTGTGGACACTGATGGTAAATGAAATGTTACGTGACATTAAGCCATTTTGTTGACGTCTTTGCGCATTTGAAACACTGATTGAACGATTAAATGAGGCATGAGATGTTCATTCATGTTTATTTTACATTAAAACTAGTAGTAAAGAGGAAGAGATGATCGTTTGAACTGAGACGTTTTAATACAGCGATCTGCCGCGCCACATCAAAGAGCAACAAAATGGCATTTATTGTTTGAATTTCCTGGAAAAAAAAGGACATAATTTGAAAGATGAGCCTTAGTTTCTTGTCAAAAGTGACAGTATATTTAAACTAGACTTGTGCCGGTATTCGGTAATGCGATATATCACGGTAATGAGTATGCACGATATTGTTATCGTGGGCACTTCTAAATACCGTGAATAATTATATATTACAAATTATTCCGAATTTTGAATGCATTTTAAGAATACTTTTCCCATCAACTGGTCAAAATGCACAAAACCGCTGTATGCTGCATGAAAGACGCGTGCGCACTCTGACCTAAACAAGCGTGGACGAGAAGCACATGGCGGAACATGTGAGAGGATCTCACGCTCTGGATGAAAGCGCACTTTCACTCTCTGACAGCAGATGGCGCTAAACTGCAGAAATAATAATAATAATAATT